TTTTTTTTTTTTTTTTTTGGTTTATGATACTGACATTTTTGAAGAAGACAAGGAAGTTATTGTCTGATGTTTCTTCATGGTTAGATCTAGAATATATGTCCTTTTTCAAAATAATACATAATTGAGCCTGACCAGCGTGGCTCAGCGGTTGAGCTTTGACCTATGATCCAGGAGATTGAGGTTTGATTCCCGGTCAGGGCCCATGCCCAGGTTGCAGGCTCGATCCCCCGTAGGGGGCTTGCAGGAGGCAGCTGATCAGTGACTCTCTCATCACTGATGTTTCTCTTTTTCTCTATCTCCCTTCCTCTCTCTGAAACCAATAAAGGCATATTTTTAAAAATTAAGTCAACAATTCAGTGGCATTAAGTACATTCACAATGGTGTGCATCCATCACCTCTCTATATTGTAATACATTTTTCATCACCCCAAATGAACCCTGTACCCATTAAGCAGTTACTCCCCATCCCCTTCACCCTACCCCACCTTTGTTTGTCAGCAGTTTAAATATAAGCTTCCTAGATGTGGTTTTCTTTGTGTTTATCCTGCTTGGTGTTTGCTTTCCTTTTGGGGGTTTGAGTGCATGTATATCACCAAATCAAACATTCTTTGCTCTTGTCTCTTCATGTCTTCCTCCTCCCCTTTTCTGTTTCTCTTTTGAAACTCAGTTACATATACATATATTAAACTGTTTGACATTGTCTCTCAGGTTTTGTATGGCTCTTTTTTCCACATTGTCCTTGCCCCCCCAACTCTTTATATATTAGTTTGGATAATTTCTGTTGACCTTACTTTAACTTTACTGGTTCTTTATTGTGCCGGTCTGTTGATAAACCCATTGAAAGACTTCCTTATATTTGATACCACATTTAAAAAAAATTAGCACTTCAGTATATACATATATTTTCTCACATGTGTATTCTCTGCTGAAATTTCCTATTTGTTCATGTGATCTACCTTTTCCACTTGATTCTTTCACATTTTTAATGGTTATTTTAAAATCCCTGTCTGATATTTCTAACGTGCTGTTTGTGGGTCAGCTGTGTTGAAGGTTTTCTCTCACAACAGTGGGTTACATTTTTTGCTGCTTTGCATGTCTCATAATTTTTTGATTGAATGCCAAAAATTGTATGTAAAGGAACAGTAGAAACTGAACTAAATAATACTGACAATGAGGAAAGCATTTACCTTTTTCTGGCAGACCACTAGTGTGGGGGACTAAGTGAATCTCCAGTGTTTTTAATATTTAATATTCTTATGTGTATTAGCTGCTTCAATCACCTACGAGAATTTTGTCCATAAACTTTGCATCTAGAAATATGATAATGTAGCATTATCATTGCTTTCTAGAAAAGGAGATAGTTTCTGAGTTTTCATCTGTGAAATGGCTGCTAATCCATCTTGTTTGAATATCTGTATGTCTCTATGCCATGTAGATTGTGTTTAGCTGAATAAGTTATCATAAAAGTCACCCACTGTATTCTGCTTATCACTAGTAATTTTTTGATATTCTGTGCTATCATTACCTTCTGAACACACAGTCGAAGGGATAATATATTTATTTTATACTTGGAATTCCTGTATCACTAAAACTTTCATTATTTTTATTCCATTGATGATTATTATGACACTTTATTGATTTTCAGTTTTATAAATATTCATCATCAGATATATAGTGTTCTGGGTGTGAGACACAGAATAGCTCAGTAAGGGAATAATGTTGAAAGCATAATTGAATTTATTATATAGTCATGTTACTAGGTATAAAAACAAACAAAAAAAACTACTGCTTATTTCTGTGTGTCCAAATACCTAATGTACAAGATTCAGGAGTCATATAAGTAATAATTCATTGCCCCTTTTTTGTTGTGCTCTGCAGGCATAATTTAGGAAGAAGATCCTCAGTGACATGTTTTATTAGAAAGAAGTTTATTCATAGGTTTCAAAGCTAGATTTTAAATACTTAAACTACTGGAACTGCATGACATATATAGTACTTATTTGACAAGCTTCAAATTTACATTTTTAGTGTCAAAGGACTTGTTAATGCATTTGTATTCAAGTTTTATTAGTGAGGACACAGTATGTTGGGGTTCCTAATTTTTTATTTAACACTGTCTCTTCTTCAAGCTTTTTATTTTGTTTGAATTGAAGATGACTTATCATAGATGAGATTTTGTGATCTTTGACTCCTTTTTCACATGTAGTAATTCCTTGTTAGATAAATGATATGTGAATATCTNAAGCTTTTTATTTTGTTTGGATTGAAGATGACTTATCATAGATGAGATTTTGTGATCTTTGACTCCTTTTTCACATGTAGTAATTCCTTGTTAGATAAATGATATGTGAATATCTTCTCCCATGCTATAGGTTGTTTTTTCACTTTTTTGATAATGTCCTTTGTTGTACAAAATTTTATAATTTTGTTAAGCCCCATTTATATCTTTTTTCTTTTGTTGCCTTTCATGTCACATCTAGAATTCATTGCCAAAGCCAATGTCATGAAGATTTTTCCCAATGTTTTCTTCTAAGAGTTGTAGTTCTTAAGTTTAGGTCTTTGATTCATTTTGAGTTAATTTTTGTGTGTGATATAAGGTAAGGCTCTAACTTCATTCTTTTAAATGTGGTTATCCAGCCCCAGCTGGTTTGGCTTAGTAGTTAGAGCGTCAGCTTGTGCACCAGAGGGTCTCGGGTTCGATTTTCAGTCAAGGGCATGTGCCTGGGTTGCAGTTAGATCCCTGGCCCCAGGTCGAGGCACGTGTGGGAAGCAACCAATTGTTGTCTTACATTGATGCTTCTCTCTCTCTCTCTCTCTCTCTCTCTCGCTCTCTCTCTCGCTCTCTCTCTCGCTCTCTCTCTCGCTCNGTTGTCTTACATTGATGCTTCTCTCTCTCTCTCTCGCTCTCTCTCTCTCTCTCGCTCTCTCGCTCTCGCTCTCGCTCTCGCTCTCGCTCTCGCTCGCTCTCGCTCTCGCTCTCGCTCTCGCTCTCTCGCTCTCGCGCTCTCGCTCTCGCTCTCTCGCTCTCTCTCTCTCTCTCTCTCTCTCTCTCTCTCTCTCTCTCGCTCTCTCTGGCTGTCGCTCTCTTCCATTCTCTTCCCCCTCCTCCCCTCCTTCCCTTCCTTCCCCTCTCCAAAAATCAGTGGAAAAAATATCCT